TGCCGCCGTTCGGGAACACTCCGAGCGCGGTGCGAGACGGCGAGGATAGATGGCAGAGAGGAAAAGCGCTTCGGAGTGCTCGGGAAGGGGGCCGGCACGGGCTGGCCAGGGAGGTAACGGTTTCTAGAACATCGCGATGCAAAAATACAGTCAAAAATCATCAGCTAGAAATTTCCAACTAAAAAACACGGCTGATTGTGAAATCATGTTTCAAATTACTAAAAACACTGTATTTAACAAAAATAATCTTAATAGTTTTATGAATCCATTTTATTTTAAATCCCTCTTTTATTGTCTGCTTATGTTACAGTTTAGTAGTAGTACTTTTTATTGAAACTACTAACAACCTTTTTTTCGTGAAAATGATCAATCTCAGCTTTCATTTTCCCTCTGCATGACCCGTTTTATCCAAGTTTCAGCATTTCTTGCATATTGTTTGCATAAGGCTGAGAGAAATGGACAAAGAGAAATAACTTTGGATAAATAAAAAATATAGGTTCATGGAAAGTGGGAAGCTTATAAAAATGTCACTAAAATTATATCGATTTAAACAAACTTACATACATCTCTTGTCAAATAAAGGATGATATTCATGCTTTTATGACATTTGTTTAGAGTCACTAACTAGCTCGGTGACTTTGTAATAGTCTATTTAGGAAATTTATAGTCTGGCGACTGTTTTTTTTTTTTTCTTTTCTTTCTTGAATAAAGAAAATTAGAGCAAGTCATTGCACAACTAGTTTAAATAGTGCTACCTCAAAATGGCATTTTTGCCGAGATTGTTTTGAATTTGGTGAAGTTTAGTGCTTCAAGCTTTTCTTTCCTTAAACTCATTTACAAATTAACTCTAAATTTGCCAGCAATATAAAAACTGTTGTGGCACCTAATATAACTACCCTGAACATCCCTCATTGGACCTCTTTAATAAAAAATAATCCTTAAATGTTTTTTTTTTTCAGTGCTTTAAATGTGACATGAAAACAGCTGTATTCTAGGTTTACATTCTATGCACATCTATGCCAGATGTTTAAGTCGATAAATAAAAGAGGAGGTTACATCAAAGTGTCAAGATATACAAAAATCCATTTAGCACTGAAAAAATTCCAACCTCCTTGAACTCATAAAGCCATACAAGCTTGAATGCATCCTTTCTGGCTTAAGAAGATCAGCTCTGTTCTTTGTTGAGGCACTGGCACAGGTTGTGCAAAACCCATTTTTGATACACAAATAATTTCAAACAGGAAGTACTCAAATCCACTTTTTCCACTAATAATGTTATGCTTTTGGGAAACAGAAACTCAGTGGTGAAAAGAACAGGTATGTGGTCACCAATACAAATGAGAGTCACTGATTTCAGGCAACGCTGCTGCTTGTGAACGCTGATGGCTGGGGAACATCTACGGACACAAATAACTGGCAAAACACAGGGTTCATAAAAGAGGGTCTGGAGGGGATGTTTTTTCCCCTCTCTCAGGGTTTGGTTCAAAGCCTGCTGAAATGAATGGAGAGATGCCTTCTGGCTGAAGGTCTTTTTGTGCTGGGCTCTTCAAAGGTTCTTTCTATGAATGAATTTCCATGGGCAGACGGTCAGAGCCCGCTCTGGGATGCACCAGCTGTGCCCTAGATGCCCCTCCATCACTTGTGGTCCATGGAGGTACACATCTAGCAAACGACCTATGCCCACACTGGAGGAGAGGGGGCAAAGTCTCTAACCAAGGCCAAGGAACTTGCAAAAGAAAAGAGAACCCAGTTGTCAGAATTTGGCACTCTACAGGACCACTGTGAGCTTGGGGTGACCAGCCCTCCAGACACCGGAGCTGGCCTCTTGCTTGGATTTAGTAATGATACTCTTTCTCCTTGTATGGAGTTTGTGGATTTACAGCAGCAAATCCATCTCTTCCATAATGTCAATGATACTGTAGAGCTATGACAGGGATGAATTTGGCTGTATCCTCAACCAAAATGCACTCTGAAGCCAGATTGTTCAGCAACGCAGCGTAATGACAGGCTGGGCTGTCCTGGGTGCACGAGCTGGAAATCATTTTATTCGTGCATATGAAAAGGAGGTATTGAGAACTAGCCCTTGTTGTGCAGCAAACATTGCTCTTGATCAAGTAGAAGGTGCCAAAGTAAATCCACTGACCTACAGGAGCTGCATTAAGATGAATGTTTATCTACAGTACAAAGCTTATGCTGAGCTTTTCCCTGCTTTGTTACTGCTGTGTTTGCTTTAAAGGGCCAGAGATCATGGGGAAAAAAAAAAATCACCCACTTATGGAAAATGGTGATTAAATAATTGGTGCACACTGACAAAATTTCAGAAGAGCCACATAAAATTTCAGGCCGAAATGTTTCAGCATGCTTAGTGGAGACAAGCCCCGGGCACGGTATTATCCAGCCTGGGCCAAGTCATGGCTATGTGCTCACTCCAGCTAACGGTTGGCATTTGCTCCTCTCCAATGCCATGTCTTTGCCCAACTGAAGCTGTCTCACTTCACCACCTTTTTTTTTTTTTTTTGACTGCACCATGAGAACAGCAAGAGAGATTGTGCGCCGTTTGCAGCTGAGAATGCACTTCAATAGACAACAGAACTGCAGAAATCCCTTGATGCTTACCACTGTCTGAGCAAATCATTCCCGTCCCCTTATTGAGCCTGCGCTTTTGTGGGTTTTTTTCCAAAAGTTTACAGAATCAGCTCATTGTATTGAAAGAAATACCCTGAACTGGACTAAAACGACAGCTGTCCTTCCATATCACTTGTACTAAAAATTTGGAGACTCCAGCTGAAGGCAAATCTTAAATGATAAAAGGAGCATTTAACACAAGCAACTCTAGCTGACATTAACAGCAAAATCCAGCAAAGGGCAGAACATTCCTGTGTCGTATTTTTCAAGCACATAATTCCTGTTTCCCACAATAACATTTTTAGTAAAAAATAAACAAAACCCCATAAAACCTACAGTATATGAAAACTTAAGACATAACAATAATGAAAAAATGGTATTGAGTATACTTGATAATGATGTACACTTTAAAACAAATCAATAGACTATGATGTAAACAAAACAGTAAGATAACACTTTAAAAACAAGACAAACATTTATCCATCGATAGTATACAGTAAACCAACAGTCCACTGTGCAGATGCACTTATCAGGATGGTAGTCATAAAATGATTAAGTGTGTTAAAGTAATGTGTTATAAAAGTCTATTATAATTTTCTACTTGTATATCTCATATAACAGAGCGCTGTTTGTTAATTGTTTCTATAGTGCTTTTTTTTTTTTTTTGACATTCCCATTGATCAGTTTTTGGTTAACATGTAGGCTGCAACAGGCTTACTGTAGAGGTGGTAGAGAACGATAGAGGGAAGAGGGGATATATACAGAAAGGCCATGCGCAGCTTCCCACCAAGAAGTCCTGGTGCTCCATAATTTTACGGTTCAGAATTTCACATGGTCTGCTGCAGGGGAAAGAAAAAACAACAACAAAGAAAGAGACATTAGAGAGAGATACATCTATATTTTAATAAAAGTCATTCTAATAAGACACATTTACATCCTCACTGCGTTGCCCAAGAGTATGTTGCAGAGAGAACATTTTATTCCCTTAATTTTCTGATGTAGGGTGAAATTGCTAATAACACACTTGGCATCCTCTTTCATCTGCACCTAGGGCTTTCCATTTCCAGTGTGCTTCACACACACTGACAAGACAATTAGTGAGAGAGGGAGGTGGGCGAATAATAGGCTTATTTTTAGACAGGATAGAGGTAGAGAGTGAGTAAGGAGAGGGCCAAAGGAATCCCTGACCCCTGTTAGCTCCTGTTCCCTTCGGAGAGAGCCACCGATAGTCACATTAAAATCTGATCATAAGGAGCCATGAGCCAAAGGCAAATCAGGCCCAGAGACAAAATACAGACATAGAAACCTGGTGCTCAGGGGACCCTCTTCTGGGAGCAAATTGCCTCTCTTGGGATGTACTCGTGAAAATCCTCCCCTGAAAGACCCAACGCTTGTCTCCTGCAGAGCTAGGCTAGCCAGCCTGCCTACCAGGATCTCGTCAACCATGGAGGAAAAGAAAAACATGTGCCAGAGCGGCAAATGTTTCAATTACCCAACTCCCACTCAGGGCAGCTTTGGGAATTGCCCCTCAGCATTGCAGAGTGCCAACCAAGGTCCTCATCTGGCAAAACACTTGAGCTCATGCACAATTTCACATGCTCGGGTGGCAGCATGAAATGATGTGTCCCTGAGAGATTTGCTCGCCTTTAGTTTATGCATGGACACAGGGAGTAACAACCCACGAATAGGATCAAAACACACATGCTGCTGCATGAAAATGGCCACTGGTGGGTCTGTAAACCTTGGGGATGCTGGGGGACACAGCCCTTTTCTACCAGCCTCCAAAGGTGGTTTATGTCCCACAGCTGCGAGGTGTTAAGAGGACAAGTGCTTCTGGCAGAGCAGTGGCTCACGCAGGCGCTCACACCGCCCTCGTGAAGAACAGGCTCCTTGCCTGACCCACAGCCAGACCCTCTCATTGCCCAGTAGCCTGATCCCCAAGAAATCCCATCAAATTCAATATGTTGACCCTACTTCTTTCCAGCAAAGGTTTTCCACGGTCCTCAACAGCATGGCTGATGCTTTGTTTGACAGACTGTGCCATGCTCCCTACTTACAAAAGAAATATATCCCATGGATGTTCCTTGCCTAGTCTGAAATCACTAACTATTGACCATGTGAGTTTAAGCACACGCACACCCCACACACACAGAAGTAAAAAGAATTCAGAAAAAAAAAAGTTTCCTGAAACAAATGCTGAAAACAATCTCAAAGAGTTCAAAAATGAGGCTCTTCCAATGCAAATTATCTCCTTTTGGGTGGAACAGGCTGTTTTGCATGTGTTATGGAAATGGATTAACATGTCAGGTGTCACGTCTGTCATTCGGGAGAGCAGTACATTGGGTAATGCAGAACATTTTCACTAACAGGGATAGCTTGGTGTTCATCCCTACATGAACAGGGGTCCATGGCCACAGTTAGCGCGTCATTTATACATACGGTACTTTATTAAGGTCAGTAGAGATAAGGGCCACCACCAAGACAAGTAACTTCTGTTGACTGCTAAAGATATCATCAGAGAACTGCCTCCCAAATTAATTTCCAGCATTTAAGTACTTGCCTGTAATATGTGACCTAAGGAGGAAACAGGTTGCGTATCTGTGTATATTAAATGGCCTTCATTGGGAAAAATCTAGTGACCTCTTGTTTAACTGGCTGAACTGCTCTTTACTCCTCTTACTCCTGGGGTAAAAAAACAGTGACGAACTGAAACCCTCAAGGGATTTTTCTCTCAGGAACATCAGCTTAACATTCACAAAGAAAAGCAATGGAAAAATGACACTGCTGCTACAGCTGTGAAATAATACTCTGTAAGTCAAAGAAAAGGACAAACTCCTCCATCATTCCCACTCAGAGATACCTAGCAGCCTAGGGAAGCCCAGGATCTGCAGGTAGGGTGAAAGGCTATGTTGCTTGCGGTATTCATTCTGGTCTTAAACACATACAAGGACCTCTAAAGAAACCCACCATGAGCAAGGCCTCCACTGCAGCTGAACAGCAGATTTCTGCTCAGACCAAGCCAGCCTTGCAGATGCACAGCAGCTGATGATGACCCAATCCTGCTTACCCCAGGAAAGGAAATATGCCACTAAGAGCAAAAGAGAAGTTACACCTTTTCAGCTGACTCATTACCAGAGTGGTCTTTACCATCAATAGTGTAAATCCCTGAGGCATCTGCAGGCAGCTGGGAGCTGTGCAGAGCAAGAGTAATCTAAACACAGCCGTCAGACTCCAGGGGATGCAAGAAGGGAGGGTGCGAACACCGTAAAACAGGTATTTTAGGCACAAGGAAACATTGTTTGTTGTAAGTCATAGGGCTGCTCTGTATCTTTGCTTCAGTTACTGAATTTCTGTCGAGTTGGCAGAGCGTGAAGCCACTGAGGTCCCACAAGCTTGGTCCCTCTGCCCGAGCCAGCCCTCTTTTGGGGGGGATGTAGTGCCCTTATACAAAGCAATTCACCACAAAGAGAAACAGTGAAAAGGAACTTACTGTTCTATTGGGAACTTCTACATCTGTGAAACAAACATGCTGCTACTCAGTTCATCTACTGATAACTGGGATATCTACAGAAAAAAAAACAAAGAACACAACACATTAAAACATTGTCTTGAGATCAGGCTGCTCATCCTGTCTTCAATATCAGGCTAGTAAGTACATCAGTGTCTTATAAAACAGGAACCATTCCCAAGATTGTCTTTATTTTGCCACACCAAGTACAACATAGCTGCATCACTACTGATGTCTCGTGGAGTACATGGTGATTGTACTGGGATTTTAACTCCATAGACTACAAGACCGAAATGCCCTGAAACTATCTGGCTGAAAGAGGACTCATACAGCCACAGAACAACGCTGCACAGGAATTTCTGCTCTCTTCTCATGACCAATACGAGTAGGAGTAAGATCTCCTTTACCTGAAAATAACAACAAAGCACAGAAAAGGACTAGCAATCCCTTCTGCAAGCAGTAAAACACTGCCTAGGACTTACACAGGCAAAACTTCTACTGAAAGCCTCGTGACCTCGCGCTAGCAAAAGACTAGAGGATGCCCCCTGAGATATTACTGACATTCGGCATGGCTAACAGTCTCCTAACAGAACAAAGTGACACCCCATTTCCTTTGCAATAGCTCTAAACCCGAGAGCATGACAAATAAAAATGCTAAAATTAGTACTGGGGGAAAAATAAAAAAAAGTGTTTGAAAACATCTCTGGTCTAACTGGGAAAAGTTGTGGCACATCAAATTATCAGGAAGCATCACTAGGACAGGTTGTGCATATACAGTTCAGGACTGGTGCGGAAGCAGCCATCACAACTCAGTATCTTCAGAGGAAAGTTTTGGAGAGAATTATGGCTCGGCAGACATGCATGAAATCCTGTACACTTACGGCAGTGCTACAACGGCACGTACTGCACATCCAGAGTCATTTCTGTAGGGATGGGTGATGTTACTGGTGTAAATAAGCTTCAGATTTCATAGCCTCACCCTTGATTTTTGGGGCTTTGGTTGTTTCTCGGGTTTTTTTTGGTTTTTTGTTTGTGGGTGTTGGTTTTTTGGTGGTGGTTTTCTTTTTTCCCTGGTTGTTTTTAGAGTCCAATCTTGCAGTGGGGAGAGGCCGCTTTGTGTTTTCACTTCCACTTTCCAGCCAGGAGAGGACATGCCAAAATACCACAGGGAAGGATGCTGAGGGTGGTATTTCTGCTTGAGACTGAAAGCAGAAGCGCTGCAGGTCTTGCACAACAGTACGGTTGGGAATTTTACAGCCCGTTTTTTCAGGACCCAGAGAGGGTGTTGTTTTTGGAGAAGCGCCTGCACCCCTGCCAATCGCCCATCCCTACACTCCGGCCGGGCTTGCCGCCCGTCTCGCACATGGCAGGACCCACCAATCCCCAGATACATACACACACACACGCACACACACGCGCACGCACACACACGCTGCCTCGGCACGCCCGAGCCTGTGCCGAGCCGAGCGGGTCGGGAAGGCGCTCGGCCCCACGCAGGATCCGGCCCTCGCCCGGTCCTCAAGATCTGAACACGTGAAAGAAAGCCATTGAAAGGGCCAAACCTGATTTGCGGTAGCTGTTGCAGCGAAGGGGACGCTGGTGGCAGGAGTTGTTGCTGCAGACACAGTGGTGGGCGTAGCACCGTGCATCATGGGCACTTTCGGAAGGGAACCATGGAAGCGACATACGGGAGGGTGGAGCGTATATATTTTGTTTTGTTTTGTTTTATTTTTTTTAATGTAACCATGGCAACATGTGGTGGATTTGGGGGCGTGGCAGGAATCACAGCAACAAGCCATGTGACATCGTCATGAAGGACACATCGGGGCGCAGCATGCAATCACAGTGCAAAGCAAGACAGCGTTGGGAAAAAAAATAAACAAGAGAGAAGGGGAAAAGCCAATTACAATTATAATTAAGGAAAAAACCAAAACATTCTCAACACTTAGTACATTTATAAGCAGAACAATGATGTATTAGACTCCGAGGGCCAAATTTCCAAAGGGGGGAGAGGGCGGGTGTGCTAGCAAAAGCCCACGTCAGCTCGCACCCGTGGGGAGTTAGACACAGCCAGTGCACGTTCCTTTGGGTGGGGACATT